CTGTGCACTGGCAACTGGTGGCTGAGTTTCTGGCAATTCCTAGAGTTACCCTACGTCACTTCTGAGTTTCCCCTTGGAGTGATGTAGTGGTGGTGCCAATGTCCTGGTTGTTTCTTTACTTTTCTCCTGCCGGCACTCCAAGCAACAGCAGGCAGCAAGGGCTGTGAGCAGGAAGTCTCCACCATAGCAGGAGGTCTGGCAGCCCTGTTGGCTGCCCATCTGAACTGCATGCACCAAGGGCTTCCTGTGATGTTACAAAGCATTCTGGGAATACATGATTACCTATGCCCTACCCGTGTACCATACCAGGGCCAGAACATGGACAGGGCCAGGTGGTGCTTCTGCCCAGCAAGCCTCCTGACTGACCATTGTAGATTTGATTGACTGTCCAGTTTTTTAAAAAACAACAACATTGTTTTGGCTAGCAGGCTAACAATTCTGCAGGTCAGATGCCTGCCTTGCCTTTCATAGACTATAGGTAAGTAAAGAAGCAATATCAGCAGTTTACACTGTTAGCTTTAGCTATATATATGGAGATATGGATTCAGCTGTGGGGTCACTGGGTATCCTTAGGTATGGAGGAAAGGAGAATGTCGTCTCCCACTAGGGAGAAAGGTGGGGTATAAATGAAGTAAATGAATAAATAATACATTTTCTCACAGTTCCTGGCTGGTAAAACGAGAACTGTAGTCTCCTACCTTGCGGGATTGTGGTAGGGTCAATGAAAACAGCTGGTAAAACACCTCACATCATAAAGGCATTACATAAATCCATAGCAATTATAACACGAGGTAACAGTTTGTTGATATTAAACACACATTATCTTTTTAAATTTTGGAGGCACCTCATTAAGGAGGCATACATAAATTGTTCCCAACAGTGCCGTGAGCAATGAGTAACCCTTCATGGGAGACTGTTCTAATTGAACCCCAGATTTTAAAATCAACAACTGATTAATTATTGAACAATAATAATTTAAATCAATTCATACTTTAAGACTTCCTTGCCCCATGACTAGGTTTATGTCTGTACTGCTCTAGCACACATTTGCCACCCAGTGCGATGCAATGCTGAGAAGTGCCACAAAAGGACACTTTTCTCACAGGAATAAATCAAGGTCAACAGCAGGTATCTGTGGAGGGAGGAGAAGCCTAAAGCACCACAAGACCACGGGAAGGGAAAGACCTACAAGTTACTAAGAAGTGACCGAAAAATAATGTAGTTGGGTCACTACATGTACTTTTTTGATTATTTCCCCCAATCATTTAACAGAATGAAGCCACGTTCTAGGAAAAATCTGCCCCAAACAGCTATGACCAGTACTGATTGCCTGAAAACTAAACTCCAAGTGTGTATTAGCTGTGGTGCAAAACAGTGCCTCGTGACATATGTGCGCGACTACTTCATCATTGGCAGGTAGCCAATATGTGTAGTGATTTCAAAAAGGCCCATGCACATGTGTGGCTGTGTGAATTTGCAAACGTTATTTTTACCCCTTTTTTTAAATTACGGGTTGCTGTTGAGCTGCTTATGGGTCTAACCATATAGAACACTGGTAGGAGCGTCGCTCAGTGGAAGAGCACACACTTTGCATGCAGAAAGTCCCAAGTCCAATCCGCAGTATCTCTAGTTTGTGGCTATCAGGTTCCGGTGGTAGGAAAGACCCTTACCCGAGACCCAGAAGAACCACGGCCAATCAGAGTAGATGGTGATGTGCTGGAGGGATCAACAGTTTAACTTGGTGCGAGGCAACTTCCTACACTTTACCTCTTCGCATTATCTTATGCTTTCCTCCATTTTCCATAGTAAACCGGTCCTCACATCTCCTCCCTCTGTCTTTTTTTATTAGCCAGGCTGCTGAGAGGCTGCATGCCGCTTCCCTGCCTTGAATTTTAATGGAGACATCACTCTTTTCTTTATCCTCTCTCAGAGTGGACAGGATATTCTTTGTCTGCTCTGTTTTTTCCCCCCTGTCTGGCCTACTTGTAGTTCCTGGGCTTCTCCTGAGTGGCCCACTTCTGTTGAATGGGGAATGGGGGGTTGTGTGTGAGAGGGGTGGGAGAAGCTTTGTCTCACTCAGTCTTTGGTCTGGCTGTGCTGAGCTGTTTTATAGCTGTGGGGAGGACTGAAGGGGCTAGAGGCAGAGGCAGGGAAGAGAGAGTAAAAATGCTAATTGTTCTTCGCTCCACACATCTGCCAAAACCGCCCTTTGATAAGCAAGTGAAAGCAAGCAAAATGCAAACTTTTCACGAAGGAAGTCAAATCAAGTCCCAGCGTAATTTTGGAACTAGAAGGCAACTGTGTTTGTGTTCAAGAACAGAAGCTTTAGAATCTGGGTGCTTGGAAACACTTGATTCAGCAGAGCAGGTTTCGAGAAGCGAACCAGAGAGGCATGAGGGAAGCGGCAGCCCCAGTTTTAATCACAGCTTTCAGAGACTGTAAAATGACTTCATGAGGTTTTGTGTTGCCTTTGGAGAGGCAACCAAGATTTTGAGGAATGAGTGACACATGCTTCTTTGTCACTAGTCCGATATTTTCATGTTAACTAAAAAGAAAAAAATATATGGCTTCATTATTTAAAAAAGTTCTCACCTCGCCCCATTTGGACAAAGATATATGCTAAAGGATTGTGGTGGAAAAGTTTTGCAAAAAAAAAAGGAGGAGGAGGAGGAGGAAAGGAATTAGCATAGTTAGCATCCTCCCACATCCATCAGACAATTTGCTTTTGCGGAATTTTCATATTACAGCTTCTAATTTTATATGTAAGAGAGGAGGATGTACCTAACATCTAATAATCCTTCTGATTACCTTGCCTGGAAGGCAACTGTTTCAACAATTATACTTAATCTATCTTTATAAATAGGAAAAAATCTCAATTCTCATTATTCTGAACACTGTTTTTCGATAGGTGTTCACCAAATTTCACATTGGGGCTGGTAGTACTCAACATAGATTCTTCCAGGAGATCGAAATGTACAAAGGAATTTCATTTGCCCAGAATGGAGGAGGGACTGCTTTGTACTTAAAAAAAAATCCCAGTGGGGGAAAATGTTTTTTGGAGGGAATATCAGCTACAACCAGCAGGCAAAGCTGACATACTCACCAAGAATAATTCTTAAAAGAAATCTGCTTTCATGAGGTAAAATGTGATTACTTAACCACATCAGAATCGTTCTTAATAGTCATGAGCAATGCTCCCTCTAAGCTGTGGAGTCTTGTGAGCAAAAATTCTACTTTGTGAGCTACTGGCATTAAAGTTGTGAGTGAGCAATTTGGTTGCTGCACAAATTAGTTTGTTCTGGAGCCATCCTTCCTGAGCTAAGACAAAAATGTGTGAGCCGGAGGCTAAAAAAACCGTGAGCTAGCTCACACTAACTCAGAGGGAACACTGGTCACGAGATTACATTCTACATACTTTTTAGTTACACTCATCCAGAGAAGTTCTATTACAGCATGTCTCTGAAGAGGGCGCTTAAACATTTTTAATAAATAAATAAATTCTGGATGTAAAGATTTTTTTAAAGTACCACTCATGCTACTGAATCCTCAGCTAGAGATTCTAAAACCCTATCATGTGCTCCCTCTGTCCCTCCAGTCCTTTCTGCAAGAGCAATCACTCAACCAATTCTGTCAGATTTAATTGAAAAACAATTTTACTTCCAAACTGATTTTTGTGCTGGCCAAATTCACACAGCAGCAGTGCCCATCAGGAAGTTAATGAAGTGTGTAACACAAACATCCTTCCGAAGGATGACCAAGGCACTTTAAAAAAAATTCTCTTTGAGGGGGGGAAACAAGATTACTAATATATTTCATACCACCCAATGTGTAATAGTAATGGTTTCATCATTACTATAGCAATTTAGTTTTGCAAAGTGCTCCATAACCCTTATCAAATTGATTCTCCCAACAGTCCCATGAGGGAGCCCTTTACTATTTTCATTTTACAAATGGATATTCTGGCCCTTAAGTGGGTCTCCCAGGTCCTGGGCTGCATTCAGACATCACAAGAAGTTGCAATTAAACACCAATCGGGCATGAACACAGTCTGTTGCTGTGCTCGTACATGCCCTTTCCTTGGCCTACCTCCTTCCTTCTCTAACACAGAAAGGCAACTCAATTATCCACCTGGTTTGATCAAGCTACAAGTCACCATGACATCCAAGTGCAGGTGCCTCAGTAAATTTTAGTTTGTTTGCCCCACAGGAGCTGGAAATGTAAACTGGGATTAAACCGAGGCTCCAACATATATACCCTTACCCTGTTTTCCCACTGAAAATCACCACCCTCATGCTGAGTCTGCCCCCAACCTGGAGAAAAGTTATCATTTTGAATACTCATTGTATTTCTCTCCTGCGGAAGTAAAAGTAGTTTAGGGATAGTGATTTCACGAAAGCTCATACCCTACCATAAATTTTGTTAGTCTCTAAGGTGCTGCTTTTCTACCGATTACCTAAGCTGCGGCATGTTCCTCAGAGCATGTGCCTTGCAGTAACAAGAGGTTGAAGTGATCACTCACTTCTACCCAACCTCCTGTGGACCCAGTTTCTGCTGAAGACTAAAAACTTGAAACAAGTGAAAATCCCAGATGTCCAGATACTTCTGCTAAATGGAATTGGACCGACACCAGCCTCCTTTCTAAGACTGATGAGTTGCTTTAGCAAATCCCATGCAAAGCTCCATCTCTGATGTCTGAGGCTACCAACCAAAGAGTATAAAATATAGTCCTACCCCAAAAACATCTGGTAATGGCTCTGAACATTCATGACAAATAGGTGGTCTAGTCCTTTGTCCAAAAGGGATTAAGTCTGTCAGGATGAACCAATGTGGGATGGAAATGAATGGGTCATTCTACCTAACGGAACCTTCAGGGGTCTAAGCTCCCAGACACTCTGAGTCATGCTCTTGGGCCTTCATCAGTTTTAGGGTTTCAGTCACAGGTATGAATCAATTTTTAAAAATAGCATACATGGATAGACACTATTCACACCACTTCTTACCTCACGAAAGAATAGCAGGTTTCCAATGAAAGGCAGAGGCGGAGGATGACAAATGCCCACCTTCTGTAGCTTGGAAAATGCTGAAGTTGAGTACCTATAAAATAATGAAAAACAAGCTTTGCCCCATGCTTTAACTTAACTTTATATAGTCAAATGCATAAAAACCCCCCAAGGATAAGAGGAAAGGAAGAAGAAGAAGAAGAGATTGGATTTATACCCTGCCCTTCACTACCCAAAGGAGTCTCAGAATGGCTTACAAACTCCTTTCCCTTCCCCTCCCCACAACAGACACCCTGTGAGGTAGGTGGGGCTGAAAGAGCTCTGACAGAAACTGCTCTTTTTTCAAGAACAGCTTTGCCAGAACTCAGGCTTGCCCAAGGTCATCCAGCAGGTGCAAGTGGAGGAGTGGGGAATCAAACCCGATTCTCCCAGATTAGAGTCCGCGCACTTAACCACTACACCAAACTGGAGCACCAAACTGAAGCCCTGAAACAAGTAGCATAGTGATATTGTGGTATCTCCTTCCCTTAAATGTGAGACAGAACTGGGAAGACCCATTAAAAGCCTGCACTGGATGTTGATTCCCAGGCTTGGTATCATTTTATCTCAAGCCTTCAGATACATCATGAATGATCTCCTCCTAGCAATCCATAGGAGATACAGTCCATCCTACGGATTCAGTTAGTTGTTTCTGTTGCCTCTTAAAGCCTGCACTGGATGTTGATTCCCAGGTTTGGTATCATTTTATCGCAAGCCTTCAGATACATCATGAATAAGAACATAAGAACATAAGAGACGCCAATGTTGGATCAGGCCAAAGGCCCATCCAGTCCAACACTCTGTGTCACACAGTGTCCAGAAATACCAATGCCATCAGGAGGTCCAGCAGTGGGGCCAGGACATTAGAAGCCCTCCCACTGTTGACCCCCTAAGCACCAAGAAGACAGAGCATCACTTGCCCCAGAGCCCCTATCTATACCTTGTGGCTAATATCCACTGATGGACCTCTGCTCCATATGCTTATCTCCTCCTAGCAATCCATATGAGATACAGTCCATCCTATGGATTCAGTTAGTTGTTTCTGTTGCCTCTGAGTCTGTTGAACGTGAAGAGCTAGAGAAGACATCATAGTTCTTTGCAAAACTGCTTGTGTGGCATGGAAACTGAGGATGGTGATGGCCAACAGCTCTCCTAAAACATTCCCCGGGGGGGCGGGCTCCTAAGATTCCATACTCCCAGGATTCCACTTCCTGTTCAATAGGCATGTGTGTGTTAAGTGTAGTCAAGTCTCATACAATTTATGGAAATCCTATGAACTAATGTCCTCCAAAATGGCTTATGGTTACAGTCTTGCTCAGGTCTTTAACTGAGCTCAGGGAGAACTGAGGGCCGTGGCCTCCGTGATTGAGTCAATCCATCCCATCTTGGGTCTTCCTCTTTTCCTGCAGCCTTCTACTTTTCCTAGCATTATTGTCTTTTCCAGTGACTCTTGTCTTCTCATAATGTGACCAAAGTACAATATCCTCAGTTTAGTCATTTTAGCTTCTAGGGAGAGTTCAGGCTTGATATTAGTGTAATATACTGGTGTGACATCAATACAGTGTAACTTGATGATATCAGCGGGCATGATGTCATCAAATTACATTGTGAGTGGCTTGAGATCCCATGCCTCATTTCGTTGGTAATACTCATTTCCATCAAAGCAGAACCTCTAGTCTAGATCCCTTTGTCATAACCATAACGATTCTCAGTTACAGCGTTATAAAGTTAAAAAGAAATTCACAGAATGTTATACTGATGTACAGCAACACAATTATGTTTGGGAAGGAATTTTTTTCAAGAATTTGGTTTTATTTCCCCCCCTTCTCTTGTTCTCCCATCGTTACCAAACTGGTCTGCTATAGTAGGAGCTCTTAGAGGTTTCAGCAATTACAGGTGCCAAAATACTGTCATTGCACACTGCAGAAATGCACCAGCTACGCCAGATGTTCTGACTGAATGATTAGTCAGCCACCAGACAGCAAATTACTACAAGACACAACTTGGGAGAACTGAAAGCCAAAATCTAAAGTTTGCCGACTTAACCATTGTATCGGATGCTGCTGAATAAGACAGGAGATAACTTTAGTCACATCTCTGCCAAATTCCATTTGAAGCCTTCTGTATGATGCTTATAGGAGTGTGCGTAAGCAGTAATTCCCAACTGAGTTGCCAAGACATGAGACTCATCCCTTGCCAAATAGATATACTGACAACAAGAAAATTGCAATCAGGGGTACCTGCTAGTATCTGAGTGGAAGCCTTGTTCCCTGGACCACCCCTTGAAAACCAGACCTCCTGAGCCACAAGAAATATAAATAGTCAGGCCCACCCATAGCCAGAAATGTTATGGTGAGAGAGCATGAGTGGAGTTTTCAGTTCCCCTTAATCCTAAACGCTGAGGTTCATTGGATGAGGCCTGGTAATGTCACAGTGAATAGCTGTATTAACAGCTCAAGATGGGTAGCTGTGTTGGGTCCCGGTCACACGGGCCAGAAAATGCGGGGGGGGGGAGCGTGGCTGTTTGCCCCAGAGCAAAATAACGTGCGGCCGCCGGATCACACGTCCCGTCAAGGTCCCTTGGTTAGGGAGTGAGGTGCCAATCACACGGCTATCCTGCAGCGCGGCAAAGAAGTGGTGCGGCGCAATCACAGCAGCAATCGCTAGGCGCCACTTCCATGGCAAACAGGTGGGGTTTTTTACCGAAGTTTGTGTGCATGCCAAACAGAGGAACCAAACCCCACACCTGCTGGCACCAAGGCCTTCTGGGTAGCCTATTAAAGGTGCAGCACACAACAGAAACTAAGAGGAAAGAACCAAAAGGAGAAAGTCCAGAGCAGATGAGAAGGTATTTGGTCAGGAAGGGGCTAACTGATTCAACTGCAACTGGGTTGCAGCTTCCCCACCTACATTCTTTCCAGGCAGTCCAGACAAAAATCACTTTAATACTTTATCTTCTATCTCTGCAATAATAAGGGCAAGAGACTTACTTTTTTAAATGAAAGCTGCGAATTCAGTGGTGAGTACAACATATTTGCGGTAAGGTTGCCCCATATCCCCCCATAGCTACAAACCTGTAAACAGCCTTCTGCCATGCCATGCCCCTCCCCAGCGCCATGGCTCACTCCCTGTCCTTCCCCATTCCTATATAAACTTCCTCTTCCTGCTTGCAAATCATGTGAAGGAGCACCTTCTGTGGAAAGCTCACAGACTCATACTTCACCTTGTTCCTGCCTTGCTATGTCTCTCTCTGTTCCTCAGCTCCATCACATCTACTTCTCTCCACTCTAGGGAGGCCAGCCTCCAGGTGGCGTCCTGGAAACCTTCTGGTGTTACAGTTGATCTTCTGATGACCAAAATCAATTCCCCTGGAGAAAATGGCTGCTGTGGAGTAGGGACTCTATGGCATTAAACCCTGCTGTAGTCCCTCCCCCCTCCAAACCCTGCCCTCCCCAGGCTCCACACCCCCCCCAAATCTCCAGGGATTTCCCAACCCAGAGCTGGCAACCCTACTCCACCCCATTCCACACTTCCTACTCAGAGTGCTTCCTTGGAACTGACCTTCAGATGGCTTCCTGATTACAGTTCTGTCTTAGAAACCTAGGGTTGCCAGGTCTCTTACCTATTGCGACAGGGGGAGGGGGAGAAACTCCTGGTCCAGGACATTCGCTCGTGCACGTGTTACCTGGAAGTGACATCATCACACTAGGCACATGGACAGTGGATGTTCTAGCATTCAGCTTGAAAACTCTGTGATACCATAGAGTTTTCAGGCTGAATGCTAGAGCATCCCTCAGTGACATGGCCAGCGCAATGACATCACTTCCAAGTGATGTCATTGCGACAGGCATGCCGGCCCGATCTGGGTACTTTGGGGGTGTGGTTCCCTCCACCGGCTGGATCTGGGCCAGCGGGTTGGAGGCCCCTTGAGTGGGCAACTCCCCGGCCCCCTGGGGGACCTGGCAGCCCTACAGAAACCCTGGCCTGGCTCTTACCCTTGAGAAGGCTGGGCAGTGCTCCCTGATGACCAGAAGCCCTTTCTCTGAAGTGGAACACTAGGCCCTGTAAGTTATGATGTCTGGGCAAAATCCTGCTCTGTCTTCCCATCTACCATGCTGCCCACAACAAAAGATCTCTCAAGAGCTCACAAGAGGGAAGTGACATTGAACAGTGTGCGGGAAGGAGCCCATAAGCAGGCCCCATATGCTAAAGAGCAAACAAGCCGTCTCCATAAGCCTCAGAAACCTGTAGTTTATAAATATGCCATCCATGCTCACATCTTCTTTAATATATTCACATTTTCAACGAACGGCAGTAAAGTCTACAGATGCCAACAGATGAAAATTATTAATTTCTGTCTGCATCATGCAGCCTAAAAAAGCTCCCAAGGCAACTTCTAGTAAGGCATTAAGACACAATATGAAACATAATAAAATGTTATTACAAAAGAAAGGCTTCACATCACACAAAATTTGGAACTCACCACCGCATGATAGCTAAGATGGCTTGAAAGCAGGGTTACCAACTTCCAGGTGGGGCCTGGACATCTCCCACAATCACAACTGATCTCCAGATTATTCAGATCACTTCCCCTGAAGAAAATGGCTTCTTTAGACGGTGAACATAAGAACAGAAGCCAATGTTGGATCAGGCCAATGGCCCGCCTAGTCCAACACTCTCTCACACAGTGGCCAAAAATACCAGGTGCCATCAGGAGGTACAGCAGTGGGGCCAGGACACTAGAAGCCCTCCCATTGTCCCCCCCCCAAGCACCAACAATACTATGCTCCAAGTGGTGGTGGGAGACCCATGGCACTACACTACTTCCAGTAAAAAAAACTGGAAGTGACATAGTGAGCTCTAGGAATAACTGGAAATGCTATAGTTTTACCATAGAGTTTCTGGTGATTCCTAGAGTTATATAACTCCCCCCCCCTTTTTTTTACTGAAAGTGACATAGTGTCACAGCTGGTGTCAAGCCCTCACATAGTCGCGCCCACAGCCCTCCCTGAAGGATTATTTGTTTAGCAGAGTGCTAGACGCACATAAGGCAGC